GCTCCAGGGTTGGTTGATCTGTTCAGAGTGTAACACTAACTCACACTGACTCGTTTCCATTAGGTTGTTCATTAAATCTTTTGAATAACAAGCCACAAATCACCAAAAAGGTATTTTGTTTACAGTTTCAGATAAACAGAAAAAAAGCAAACCCTCATGTTTGACAAGCGGGACCACTTTATATACAAATAAATATATTTTAGTTTTTTAAAGCAGTGTGTTACCATCTAACGGTATAGTTGCAGGGCTTTTTCCATAAATCATATCGAAGGAGTTTCAAATGACACGCAGTTCGAATGAACTTGAACATAATGATCTATAACCATACTATAGGATAAGATATTGGCTCTTACCACACCAGTTGGCCACATATGCACATATCCTTCCATATAAAGCTTGCTCTCTTATCGGTGAAGGCATTTTTACGGACCTATCTAGAGCCAGTGTTTGATTTGTCCGTTCTGGGCAACTGTAGAAACATTACGGTTCAACATGGCGTCACACAGCGTCTGTAGATAAGAGAATGGTTCCTATATTTATGTGATTATACACTGATTAAAACATACTAATGAATATTATATTCCATTTCTGACTGAAGATCCTCGTAAATGTTACACACTGAACCATTAAAGTATATTTTAAATGTGTGACGGAGGAAGGCACAACTTGAAAACAATCGTAAGAACTGATAAATGAAAACATCCAACGGTAGGAACAAGAAGAAAAGGTTTTTTTATTCTGATGTGGTTGTGAGACAGTTTCTGGTTGTTATGGTGCACCAGTGCAATAAAGTCTCTTTGTTTGAATTCAGATAAGGTGCACATGGAAGAGTATAAAGATAAATATTTACCCGACCGGGAACAAGGTAGCAATAAAAGTGGTGTAAGAAGAGATGTTTGTGTTAGTGCTGTAAAGTGTTCAGCACTCTGAGACTACAGTACAAATAATATTTGAACAAAATGTTATTTATTGTACAGCTCAGATGTCACTCTACAGGTTTAAACAGGACTCCATATCCAGAGCTTTCAGCTGACGGCTTGTTCAGTTCAGTTTTATACAGCGTGCACATTGAGGAATGTGGGTCAGTCCTCTTCAGTTATTTCTCGGTCGGTGTTGACAGTGAACAGCCTCTGCTCTTTATTTAACTCTTTATTGAGCTCTTTTGAGGAGTTGGTACCAAATAAAGCAGCTGTTCCTATAGGGTCCTGTATATAGGCTGCAGATAATGACAAACCTGCTCAACATGTTTTCTGTTTTGTATAAATTCAGGCACCCATTTGTCCCTGCCTCCAGGTTTATCAGACCCATCTGCCCCATTACCCTCAGGCTGTCTGTGCTAGATACATACAGACATGTCAAATTCAGAAAAAACAAGCCTCTTGTTGCGTGCGTGCGTGCATGCGTGCGTGTGTGTAAGGGGTTTCCATCACTGAATCGGAGGGATGTAAAACAGCTTTTATGGTTGGCAAATAAAGGCTGACGGTGGTGCAGTTACCTGTTCTCTTTCTCTTCGCTCACGTGGTAAATTATAATCTATTAATAATGTACGTAATGCATATTTCCACAGCACTACGACACAAGTCTATTCCTTTTTCCTAACAGAAATACTGTTCTTCATTCACTAATTAATTAGTTGCTTCTACTTTGCTGTTTTTTTTTTAACATTGTTAATCTCCACAAAAGCCAGAAAATGGGGGGATTATTCCCTTTGATCGCCTGGAATGCTTTTGTTGGGAAACATCTGTGCAGAAGGTGTTTCTCTGGCGGGAACTTAACGGCGAGGGCAAAAGAAACCTGTAAAGAGATTAATGAATGAACAGTATTTTATTCTGTTAAAGAAAATAAGACAAACTCAAAGCGACGGGGCCTCTGTTGTTGTCTCTGGCTTTTCAAACATCAGGTCTTTACAGCGCGTTGATACGAGCCCCTCTGTTTACAGATCAAGGATCAGGACATGGAGGCTCGGTTCTGTAAGCTGGTGCAGCAGCTGCTGGACGACCATAAAGATGTGGTGACCATGCTGGCCCAGGGCTTCAGGGAGTGTCGCAGACACGTCCAGGTAAAAACTGAACCTCTGAAAGATTCTGTGGAGGATATTTCATTACATTCATCAGAGTGATTGAAGGTTTTAGGGTTTTAAATTGTATTAAAAGGTGTCTTGATTTAGTAATTTAATTAGAAGATGTCTCATTCTTTTGTTTCTGAATCCTGTTAATCTGATTATAAAGGGACAGTTCATCCCGAAATCAAAAATCGACATGTTCCTCTTACCTGTAGTGCTGTTTATCCGAACAGATAGTTTTGGTGTGAGTTGTTGAGTTGTTGAGAGATATTGGCCGTAGAGATTTTTGCCTTCTCTCCAATATAATAGAACCAGATTGCACTCTGCTTGTGGTTCTCAAAACGCCCAAAATATACATTTACTCAGATAATCCACTTACTAGTGCAGTTAAAACCCGGGCACTGCGGTTAATCTGTGGTTCGGGCAGGCCAGGTCAAAAAAAGAAATGGCACACTGATGGGATCGGTCACAATTTAATGTTTGTTAATCATCCAAAAGGTCACACCTCCTTCTGGCCTGGCACTTTTATAACTATAGTTTTTAGTTTTGCAGCTTAAATGTTCCACAATATTTGCTGCACACATAGAAATATTTAAAATGACTGAAAGCAGCCTTCTCTAATCATTCAAATCAAAGTAAATTGTTAAAGAAAATACTCACACATCAATAAAACACAGAACTAAGAAATCACCTACCAAAGCTCGCGCTGCTCAACATTATTTAAAAGGTCACAGGCTACGTATCACAGCACAGAAGGAAGAGTGCATCTATAATATCAGCTAGCTCCACTGAGATAGAGAATGTTCAGCTACAGTTGGCAGGAAGAAAGTAGTTCCTACATGTGTGCCACCTGGTTATATATTATACTGGAGAGAGAGGAGACTCTGGATGGCTCCCATTAAAGCAATGTAGATGGATAAACAGCTCAAAATATGTATTTTTGATTTTGGGATTTTATTCAATAATGGTTAATATTCCAGATGTTATTCCAGAGAGTTTCGGCTGTGAAGCTGAACACATTTTCTTTCCTACTGTTGCAGGACGAGATGATCCTCCGCAGCTTCCTGGACACAACGCTGTGCTCTCGCCTGGGAATCCGAATGTTGGCCACGCACCATCTCGCCCTCCACGAGGAAAACGTACGTCCGACTGCACTTTCTGTTTGGCTCTTAGCCCCCAAACCCATCAGTTCATACTGAAGACAAAATCTTAGAAAAGCAGAACGTAAATATAGAATTAATTTGATTTAGAGAAATTAAACAGTTTTTAGCAAACATTACTCAAACAAGAGGAGCATTCTTTGGGGAATATTTTTTGCCGTAAGGAAGCATGAAACAACATGTTTGTATTGGCAGTTCAAATGTTTTTTTAATGTGTAACAGGAACTGAATTCATTCAATAAATAGCAGGATCTACAGTAGGAGAAAGAGAAATCACCCTGCAGGGAATTAAAATGACTGATTGAGACTAATTACAGTCATAGTTATTGTAAAAGTTTTCTCTTCTGTTCCCCTTTCAGGCTGACTTCGTTGGGATCATATGCAGACGTCTCTCCCCCAAGAAAATCATAGAGAAGTGGGTGGACTTTGCCAGGTGAGTGTTGAGTTGCGCAGCTTTGTTTACTTATCACCTTTAGATGACTTTCTGCTTCTGTACGAGCGCGCTGTTGACCGAGGGGAGTCAGAGTTCAGCTGATAAACTGTCAGGAACATACGTGTTTCAGCTCCCAGAGCTGTGAATGAGATACGAGCTATCGTTCCTGTTTGCCTTCTGTAATCTTATCACATGACCTTTTTGGAGTCAGAAGCTTTCACTGAGTTCACAAAGAAAGTTCACAAAGACGGAAAATGAGTAAACCAGATCGGAAATAATCACTTTATCTGTTGTTATTGTTTTGAAAATAAAAACAAATTCATAACAAAAGTTATCTCAGGACATTTTCAAATAGACTAGGTCTAGACTGTACGCCTTACGTATCTATCTATTAATCTATATGAAATGGTCTCAGTATACAGTCACAGCAGCATGGATGGATAGCAAGGCAAGAGATTTGTTAGATGACCGGTCGAGTAAATAACAACAACATAAATACATACATTGATGAAATTTAGAAAAACAAATCCTGCCTGTGGAACTAATAATAAAGTTATATTTGTATTGAGACTCATAGAAGAGATGATTGGACTTTAAACTTTGAATCCACTTTTACAGAAGAAAAAGGTTTGAGAACAATTGCTCAGATAGGCTGATTAATCAGGCTGATTATCTGTCATTTAATCGGCATCGGCTGATGTCTGTGCTCACGAGGCCGAGGCCAACAAACAAATAATCTCTTCAGGACTTTCCTTTGTTTTGATATCAGCATTATATATTGGCCATTGATGAACCCATATCAGTCGACTGTGTTTCCGTTGTATATCAGAGGACCCACCAGATCAGATGCAGTAAATGCTCCTCATTTGTTCCTCAGGCGTCTGTGCGAGCACCAGTACGGGAACTCGCCCAGAGTGCGGATCAACGGACACGTAGCAGCTCGCTTCCCCTTCATCCCTCTGCCTCTGGATTACATCCTGCCCGAGCTCCTCAAGAACGCCATGAGGTGACTTTACCGCTCGCACACGATGTTTGTTCATCGCCAGCTTGACTGTCTGTTCCTGCTGAGAGAGAGAAATTACCTTTCTCTATCTTTTGACTGTGAGAGAGGAAGAGCAAATAAAGCGTTGATTCTGTAACCTTTTGATTCTGGCTTTGTGGTCAGAGCTGCTGGCTGTACTCTGTGTTGTCGGCTACATTCCCATCATTCATTGGGAGCAGGAGAGAGCTGGTGGTGATGTTGTTGTTTGCAGGAGTAGAGTCAGCGTACTCACAGGCCCTTTTTGTTTTTGAAAACTGGGTCCTGTCGATGTTTGGCCCACATGTACGCTTCATCTGCCAGCATTCTTGTGTATTTAGCACAAAAACAACAGCCCATAGCAACTGTGAGCAGCACCCAAAACAAATGTGACCCAATGGATTTTCATTCAAATGTCTGCAGTGTGCCACAATTCAACACTTACTCCCCGTGCATGTGTATGTATTTGTCCCTTCAGGGCCACCATGGAAAGCCATCTGGACACCCCATACAATGTGCCCGATGTGGTCGTCACCATCGCCAATAATGACATTGATTTTGTCATCAGGTGAGCGGCTCAGTGTCTGTCATTGCTGCTGGTTTGAAAACCTTATTTAATGAAACAAATAAAACCCAGCTTTATGAGTCCTTATCAGAAACGTAGCTGCTGTTTTAAACAAGCTGGTGTGTTTTCAGGAGGGGAGCGTTTAACGTTACAGTCGTCTCTCGAAGCTTCCAAAGATAACTTTTCTTTCCCATTTTTTTGAAGGATTTCAGACCGTGGCGGCGGCATCCCTCACAATATTGTAGACAAGGTGATGGACTACCACTTCAGCACGGCTGAGGAGAGCGCACAGGACCCCCGCATGAGCAACCTCTTTAACAACATTACCAACAGTGGAAACCAGTCCAGCCCTATGCACGGGTAAGAGTACATCTACGCTAACATGGATACATCAAAAACACTTCCAGCGCTGATTTCTAAAAGTCTGACATCCACACTTAGACCAAGACAATATAAAAATAATTAAAAATGATCTTTTTTTAAAGGGTTAGGGTCCTTTTGACAAAAACAACAGCACAGTCATAGACCTGGAATAAAATGAGCAAGCATCCTGGAAATGTTTGTATTTTAGCCCCTCGCTCAGACCGCCTACATAAACCTGGGTGTGTCTTTTGTTTGAAACTCGACTGTTTGGAAGGATAAACTGTACGACGTCTACCTTCATACAGCTTGATAATCAAGTCAACAATCACATTTCTTGTTGCTGTGACTGTTAATCGTACATGGAATGAACACAGAAGATGAATTTCATGTAAAATAAAATAAATTCTGCTGTTACTTATGAGCTTTGGTCAAATTATTGTATTCAATTTGCCAGAAACCGCAGCTTTTCTGAGCTGCTGCTGTCCTGTATTGTCAAGAAAGATTCCTGGAAAATGATTTGTGAAAAGAGTGGGAACTCTGACACTGAAACACACCAAAAACCACATAACGTACACACGTACATCTCATTCATTATCTACTCTAGGTGGGTCAGTATGCAGATATGTTTTAGGAGAACGGTCTTCATCCCTCCAGTAGTGTTCAGAGATTTGGAGAATCTAACAGCAGCTGAGAAGTAGTTGGAATAATGCCATACAAACACACTTTATGTGTTTCCTTTGTTGGAATGTAAATATGTCAGCTACCTGACAGTGAGGCCTTTTAAGTGTCTGGATATAAACCACATGTGATTTAATGTCTGCCATCTGTCAGCCAGTCAGTGAATCTAATTGCATGTGTCCTGGTTTTCTCAAGCTAGATGCAAATTAACTTGTCTTCTCCAGCCCAGGGTGGTGATAATGCGGCCCAAACTCTTTGTTAGCAGCCGAAAAAACACCAGCAGGAGAATAACCTGTGCAGTTTAGTTAGCCAACCCTGCATCAAATAACAAAAACCGGCGAGGACGCACTGCGAGTGAGACAAGCGTTGTGCTCGTCTCTGTGGGCTCTCACTTACTCACGCTGCTCACTCACCCACACAGATCAATAAGTGGTGGCGCTGGGATCAGCAAAAAACGCTACAACCGCAGGTTACATCATCTGTGTGTTGAGCTGCATGCTTTAATGTGAGGGAGCAAAGCTGCTCGGTGTCACGTATCACAGGAGATAGGCTGTATTAGTGGCTGCTTCCACAGATACACACAGACAGACATTATACCCTTTCAACATCTGTGTCTCAAACTCCCTCTTAAGGTGCTTTGTGTTAATGGGGTATCTGCATTTCACAAGACATGTTCTAACAAGAGCTGCAGGATATGGTATAAATAAAAAAACTATGAAAATCCTGATGCTGGGACATTTGTTGAGGTCGGTAGAACCAAACAAACTTGTTTTCTTACTTCTGGGCGAAAGATTTGTAGGTCAGGGCATTTCTGCAGCACAAAAGGACTTCATTAGAATTATTGTATATTGCACTTAACTCAATATTCAGATTAATTGCGCAGCCTTAGCCCTAACTGTGTACGAGCGGCCGATGTAACACGGTAGTTGGGCACTTTCTGTCCACACTACCTACCAGTTGTGTGCTGGAGACAAAACCAATAATAGTAAAAACGAAAATATAAAAAAACATGTTGAATATTTTGATATTTAGATGTTTCCTTGCTGGAAATGACATAAAATACAGCCATGGTTGTCATTAGCAGTTACCAGAAACTTCCAGCTGGTGATGTTCCTCCAGCCAGCTGCCACCTGATTTAGGTTTTTGTTGTTAAATGAGGAGGTATCTTGTAGATAACTGCTCATTTAAACTCCATGAATCAACCGTGACTGGTCCATATGCAGCTCTTACAATGCCAGTGACAGGAATGAATAGAAAAGGGATGCCCGACAAAAGTTCAGATCAAAATGGCTCAATGCTCAAAACGCTCGCAGATGTTCTAAAATAATAATGGTGCGTATCGGTCCGATTCTTTGTCCATTCCCTTATTGATTCCTGACTAATTTTCGGTTCGGTAGACTAGGTCTACACAGGTTTTCAGCATCAGTTTTATTATCTCTGATTTGGAACACAGTGTAGAAACAGATTAGAGTTCTATTTGTTTGAGTTTATCTGTATGGATTGGACAATTTGGAGCTGGTTGCAGTTGAAAACCGGTTCCTACACAAGCAATTTTTCTTCTTTTTAGATGATTTGGGAAAAGCTGTTATTATTATTATGTTATTAGTGCTGAGTAATGCCGTCTTAATGTTACAATAGAAGGCCACAATGCAGCACTTTCATATATACTCACATTGGTGTGGACCATCGACGTATAACAGATGGACGTCGCGTCTCCACTTCCTCCCGCTGTACAAAAATAAAGCTACTGTATCAAGGTCCCGCCCATACGCTCGGCAGACGCAGGGCTCAGCTGTCAATCAGGATGTGAAACATCCTTTACCAGCAGCTGGCATTTCACAGTCACGCTTTCAGGTTTTACCTACAACTGTCCTCTTTGTGTCCTGCAGGTTCGGCTTCGGCTTGCCCACATCCAGGGCCTACGCTGAGTACCTGGGCGGCTCTCTGTCCGTACAGTCTATGCAGGGCATCGGCACCGACGTCTACCTGCGTCTGCGCCACATCGACGGCAAAGGAGAGAGCTTCCGAGTGTAAAGCCCCGCCGTTGGTCACCCTTGTAAAACACAGGAATCAGGCCATGCAGGAGGACACCAGGAAGGCTGGCATGGACTACAGGACTTTGGTCCACGAAGTGATAGCCTACACAGTATGTTGTCAGAAAGCTCCTAAATCCACCAACCCACTACTTGTTCTTTTTTTGTTGTTGTTGTTGTTCTGCCTTAGACTGATTATAAGCTATGTTAGCTCTCAAGTTTATGATTTCAGTTGTTTTTTTTCCTTTGTGTTTTGTACCCTGTGGCATGTCGTCTTGAAGTTTTAAGGGGTGTATGAACTTTTGAATGTTTTAGGTTATCGGGACAAACTGTGCATAGTGGACATTGACGTCACTGTGGAAGGAAAGGAAGAGCTTCAGTTTTAAAGAAGTTCATTTCGAAGTCACATAGCCTCAAAATAGGAAACAGACGTTTTGATGATTAAAAAAAAAAAAGTTTCAAAGGAAACTTCCTGAGACACTCCAGCAACCCTGTCAAAATCTCCTCAAAGTGCACAAAGCTGCTTGCATGTTCCACAACGATCAACACAACCGTAGTCTGAGTTCCCAGAGCCTTCCAGTACGTTATCAGCTCTTTGTATCAAAATCTAAAAGGGTCTACAGGGGGGGATAAAACCCAGCTCTGGTGTCCTCGGGTATTAAAGCGTTAAACCTCAACCCTCGACGACCCTTAAGCGACATTCAGCAAAGCCTTGAGTTCAGCTGCGGCTGGTACACGCAGAAGAAAACTGCCAAAAACACCAAAAGCTCATTAACCGACCTCTGTCTCGTTCTGTTTGGAGAACACGCGCCGCGACCGAACATCTTTTCTTTTGTTCAGCAGTATTTTTGTGGAGCTTTTCAGGCAGGGAAGCCAACCCGAGATGTTCAGTGGCCTTACTGTGTGACGCTTAGTCCTTCAACTTGCATGCTGACTTTTACTTGGTTTTTTTTTCTTTCTCGTTGCCTTTATCGGTTCACACAGATGCACAGCACCATGTCAGTTTCATTAGTTTGGATGTCAGATGTGTGGTTTTTTTTGCACAATAAATAGATTTCCCGTTGTGATGCTCAGCACTTGCACCAATCATAGCAGTTTTTGACTTTATTGTAAGAACTTTCAGAGTAACAATATACCAGAGAAGTATTGTCTAATGTTGTCTCCTTTTTTTCTGTTTTATCTCCACTTTAGTTGTTTTTTTTTTGTTGTTGTTTTTTAGAAAGTGTGTCTGTTGTTTTTCAGGTTTGCTGTCTTTTTGAGATAAGTTTTGTATAAAATAACATTTCAGGATCGGTCAGTGACACACAGGTTCAGTTTGGCTGAGGTCGCTCGTCATTTTTAGGTCAATTTTGTCAAGATCTCAACTTAATATGAGCGGTGCTTTGAGACGACGAATGGCCATATCTAGTTTTTTTTTTTTTTTTTTAAATACTTATTTTACGTCCCTTTTTTTTCTTCTAATTTAGAAATATTGAGTTCCCTAACAACTAAAGGTCTGTGTGCTGTTGGACATCAGTCTTTACTTTCCCCTGTACAATTATTCATTACAACCAAGAACCTTTTCGCTACCATACAAGCGAGATGGTGTCAGCTTTTGTTACGGCACTCCAGCTACGTTTTTCCGTAAATGAACGTGACGAAAAACAACCCACTGCTGCAAACTGCACAACACATACTTGGAGTTTCGTCCAACTCCTCGAACGCCAACTAAACTCCTGTTTCCAGGATGATTAAAATGCTCGCTTCAGCTCATAAACTTCGCCTGTACTACTAAGCATGTGCAACTTCTCGTTGCTGCTTTAAATTACATTATCTCTCGATATCAGTGTTTTTCTCTCTAATCGTCTCAGGATAACGGGCGTCTGTACTTCATGGTCTATCCAAGTCATAAAGTCATTCCTCTCGACCTGAAGACAAACAGATGAATACAACAACAACAATAACATATATTTATCTTGTAAACAAGCGCAAATTCGCAATATCTGCCGCATTGTGCATGCATAACATCACAAACATTTGACCCTTTATGCCAAATTTAAGCCTCATAAGGCGAAAACTGTGGCCGCCAAATGGTTGGGGAAATATTCGTGGATGGACCGACCGAAAAAGCGAACTGTAGAAAAAACTGTTCTCAAAAAAACTCAAAAAACCCCAAAACAAAGTCAAAACAATCAAGTTGTGATCTTGACATAACGTAGCAAAAATGATTAGCAAACCTCGGCCGCTCTGAGTTTCCAGTTACAGTTGTATACATCAAATAATACAGAGTCAATAACACGAGGTTTAGACATTACCCCCACACATTTTCCCACCTCAAGCACTCACATTTTGTTGAACATTCCCCAGTGAGCACCAGTCATCCACCAACACAGAGAACTGAAAGCTACATTCACACTTCATCTGTTGGGAGCATATGTTATTATATTAGCTTATACTGTTTAGCAGAGAGGGCATTGGGAATCTTGAGCTGTAATTAACAGGATTGGAAATCTATTAAGTTTGTAAACCATCAGGCAATAGTCTTCATACGTTTTTTCGGTTTTTGGCTCAGAGAGAGACTCGACCTGTGATTTCAAGAAGCAAAAAGGGGCAGATCTTAGGAAGGGTCAGTTATTGGTTATAAATCACCGACCTGGAGTCGCACAACCTTTTATTCTAAAGCTGCATCATAAAAGCTTTAGAGTGACTGACATTTGACACAGTTTTTGTTCCATAAAACCTATAAATTATATACGATTCTGACACGTTCTGTATCTTACAAATAACTGGTTCGCTTGGATTTGCACTTTTTTTTTGTTTACATACAAAATGTTCCTTGAGTTAAAATGAGATTTTAGCATGTGAGACATTGTGCAAACACGAGTGAACCACTTATCTGAGTTTTAAGATAATCTGAAATATAAATAAATTGAAACATCATCTGATTTAATTGATGAAATATTTATTTTCTGAAAACAAAAACACGCCTGTATAATTCACAGCTCCAGAGCGACGGAGAACGGCCTGTATTACCTTTACCTGTATTCTCGCCGAGGCCGTGTATATGAATTAATGTGTTTATTGTGGCTTTGAAGGTCTTGAAGATGTAGTATATGTATGTAGCTTATGCATGTAAAGCAGACGCTGGTCGACGGATGGTTTAAGGTTTGTGTCCTTTTTTAGAGACGCATTCGCAGGCGAACCGGCATCATTCAGAGGTTTTCTCCTTGTCCAAAATGCTGCTGGTAAAATGTTTCTGAAGGTGGTTTGTAAATTGTGGATTTGGCAGCCAAGCTGTGGCGTTTATGAAGCATGGCACGTGTACTGTCTGCCCCCTGCTGGTCTAAAAGGACAAGTGCAGGCAGACTAGAAAAAATACAGATTTTTTTGAAGAGGGAAGAGGATGTGCAACAAAATTTCCCAAGTTTCTGTTACTTTTTGCAGATTAATAGAAAAAAATAATTGTAATTTCACCATAACTTTCAGTACAAAGTCAAATATTGGCCTTACTGACAGAATGTGCTGCCATGGAGTGTTTTGTCTCCTAGACTGAAATTAGTTTCTCTCACATGTCTTTCTGTTGTGTTCAGGACTCTGTAAACATTAAATTTTACTTGGTTGGAACTCTTTTGTGATAAAGTTCTCTTCTTGTGCGTCTCTTTGTCAGGAAGTTACTGTCATCTCAGGAGTCTCGCAGCTATCTAAAGGACAATCCTTAAATATTTGCAGACTCTGTATTTACCTGCAGTGTGCAGCGGAGCCGATGGGACTGGTACGTGCTGCTCTTCAGGAAAACACATTGAAAAACACAACCATGACACCTCCGCAACAGGAATCTATTCTATCTATTTTGAGCTGATTATTTCCTGTGTGCGTCAGATATTTTTCCTGATATTTTAGGAACGTTTGATACGATTCTATCTGTATTATGCTTTTTTGATTTAGATTTTTAATAATCCTACATATTTAATAGGCTTGTTTTTTCCCTCCCTGATGCTTGGATATTGTCCTGCATTAGAAAAGTACACCATTAAAACAACCAAATCGCTCATAGAACAATGAGAAGGAAACACTGACTCTGTCCAAAACAATAAGCCTATTAAGAGAATTATATAAAAAGTTACTAAAAATATCAGAAAAACTCCTGATTTAATTTTACAGTAAACAATCTGCAGTTATTCATTCAGATTGCTCGTTTTACATTCGCTCCATAAACTGTCACTTAGTCTTAGTTTACTCAGTGATAGAAAAGGATCAGCTGTTCCCAAACTTTTCCACACCAGGGCCCCAAATAGCAGTTTCCAAGATGTCTTTAAAAACCAACTGACAATATTATATACAGTAAGATTTCCATATGTTGTTCTGTGTTCTTTAATAATAGGGTCATAATTCTTCCCTCAAAGTGTCTGAGGCCCCTCTGGCACCCCCTTGTGGCCCCCAGTTTAAAAAACACTGAGATAAATCATATTCTTAGCAAAGGAGTATCTGTGTATGGAAGCCTAGAATGGCCATACCAGAAAAAGAAAGCTATTATCTCAAGATCACAAGTTAATTTTTAAGGTATCAAATAAGGTTAATTTTCTCGAGAACTAAATAGTCTGAAGATAACATTAAAGAAATAACTGCACACTCGACTGGTCTCAGCCTCCACAGATCTGCTTTTAAAGAACTCACAAGACAATTAAAACTTTACATGTTTTATTTTGGAATCTGTTGCAGGCTGTGAAATTTAATCTTCCAACACAGGTCTCCGTGACCTCTGCGGTAATCATTTAAGAAGCACAAACACGAGACAAAGTAAGACACAACAACGACTACAAGTGCACTTTTTGTCTCCTCTGAGAGGGGAGAAACAAACAACTGAACAACACTTTGGTCAGTCATCTTATTTGGAATGTGATAGTTTGTACATTTCACTTATAAACGCAGTAACGTACTCTGACCTCGTCCTGTAAGTGTGTGTGTGTGTGTTCAGTTAACACACACACTTACAGAAAGGTCTCCACTATTTAGTACACTGGAGAGCACTCTTGTCTTCTCATTCTGACCTTCTCACTTTGCCGTTCAGGCCAAACTTTGTCATGTTTAACATTCCTGGCTGTGTGTGACCTTAAGCAAAAGAGCATTTCATAAAAAGGCAATCATTCTGTAAGGCAGAACTATATTTGGACAGTAACACATTCATATTTAAGCACTTTGAGCAGCGCCAGTATGCACACACAACCTTTTACACAAGGCTCTGTGGTCTTTGTAAGAGACAAGAAAAGCTATTAGGAAGAAGATGATAAAATGTTTGAGGCTTGTCTGACACTTTTTAAGACTTCACAACTCTGGTGGTAGTTGTTTTTTTTACCATGCTGCACGAGTACATGTAAAAAATGCCCTCAATCTGTCAGAAGAGAGTTGCAGTCAGTGTGATTCATGATTCGACTCTTTAAAACAACAATCTGAGTTTTATTGTGAAATGTGAGCCTGATCGAAGTTAACGCACCACATAATCCATGCAGCGGGATTGGGTTTCGATGGTTCGTTTAAATCTACAATCTCTTATTGAATCCATTTAACGGTTTGCGAGGAACTGAATCGATCAGCTTCTGTTGGCAGATAAAGCAGAAACACTACAGCTGTTAGTGGCTACAACACTGAGATAAACTCTATAAGACATCAAATGTTGCTCAAACGCACTGAAACAAAACTTTGGCACACGTTATTTTTCATAAGCTGCTTGTACCAAATACTGCAGGTCCTGATTCACAACTAGTAAACCGTTCAGTTTAAAGGTGCAGTGTGGAACATTCAGGAGGATCTATTGTCAGAAATTAAATATAATATTCAAAGGTATGTTTTCATTAGTGTATAATCACCCGAAAATAAGAATTATTGTGTTTTCGTCACCTTAAAATAAACTGTATTTCCTTGGAAGGCGAGTGGTATTCAGTTGCAATCTGCAGCTTCACCACTAGATAAACTAAATCCTTCACACTGGCCCTTTAAATTGATATACAAGTACAGAAAATTAACTGGGAGATTCCCACTACTGACTGGAGTCCATAAACTATTCTGATAACCGATTGATCGCTCTGAGTCATTTGTTAAGAAAAAAAAAGCCTGTTTGAAGTTATGAATGTAGCATAATTAATTCAAATACATAAAAGTCATTGTTTTAAAAAAGTACTCTCCCTAATTTTATTATAGCAGATTCCAACATTTCCTCTCATAATGATAATGAGAGTAAAGGCTGGTTGAGGCCCTGCAGAGCGGACTCACCGCTGTGGAAAGGTTCTTCTCTGTTATTAATTAGCTGACGCTTCCGGCCGGAGAGAACAGATTCAACAGGAGATTTGTTGCAGTTAATCCAGGTGTTTTGCATGGACCCAGATGCACAATGGACGGCTACTGTCGCCCAACCCTAACATGAAAACAAATACGGCACACAGAACATAGTAGCCCTTTTTCTGTAAACCTTTTTACGACACATATCACAATGAGACCAAAAACACAGACTACAACACAGCTTTGCCCTCAGAATAAATTAGCAGTCTGACTTGTGTCGGCAGTCTGTGCGAGGAGCTCGCTGCATCAACGAGGACCAGAGCAAACGGCGGAGAGGAAGGAAGGTTTGATAAATACGGGATACAAAAGGCAAGTCCTTAAAGTCGCCGCCATGTTCTCACACAGTCTGGAGGCCTCTCTCGTGGCCGTCCAGCTGTATCTTTATCTTGTGCAGTTCCTCGATCTCCTGGTGGTGGCGCTCTGTCTTGTGGCCCACCAGAGAGCGATAGAAGTGGACGGTGAACACCAAAAAAATCACCCCCACTGGGACCATGATGATGGTGGAGGCCAGCGCAGCCTGCCAGCCGCTGTTCCGCGGCACATGTGCCGTGGTCTTCACCACGGCGGTGGCTGATACGGGGCTGCACGTGGTGGTCTTTTTGATCTCGATGGAGTCTACGGGCAGGAACTTGATCCAGCAGAGGAGCACCACCTCGGCCAAAAACAGCAGGATGCCCAGGGCCGTGGAGAAGCCCCAGGCCAGCTCGATGTAGTGGTGCATGCGCTCGTGGGGCGACTCGCTGACGGAGTTGAGGTTGTGGATGTTGCTGACGGCCTCCACGTTGGGCAGGATGCAGGTGCTGATCAGCAGGGCGAAGAGGTGCACCGCCACCAGCACCGTGGTGCACACGCTGAAGGCGATGAGCAGCGGCCAGGGGTAATTGTACTGCGTCTCCAGCTCCACCTCCACCATGGCCACCTGTGACACAAACACAACGTCATCACAACGTTTCCCATGTTACAGCGCAAGTTCCGCTCCAGACAGCGGCGTCCAACGGCGTGCGTCACAACAGCCGCCGCTCTTATTGTCTATGTATGATCCACAGCTTGCTAGGTTAGCCATGTTGATGTTAACAGAACAGGCAGTGGATGTGAAACAGGTAACAGAAAGTGGAAAGAAGCTTCAGGGTGTATAAACGCCACACTACCATGTTTGCTGTCAAACGTTTGACTATGCGAGAGCAAACTGTACCGACAGGTCCGCCCTGACTGCAGGTTTCCCGTTTGATTGCCGGGGGCATTTTCTAAACGGCAGTAGGTTTTGGAATCTGCTCCGTACTGAATGTCGCTCGCCTGGAGCACAGAAAGCAGTCAGCGAAGTCAAGGTCTCACATTTTATAATAAAGAAATAAAAACACATTTTTGAGTGGAGGGGAACTTTAAACATCTCGTGACAATGATATGTGGACCGGGCTACCATGACACTTCCAGGACTCTGCAAGTACAGTAATTAGTACAAAAGATAAACTGTTTTATTAAATATCTAATTGAAGCCTGTGGCTAAATCTGACTCCCAAGGTGAATTGTCTTGAGAAACGTCCAATCACAGATCTTAGAAGCTCTTACTTTAAGATTGTAAAACACCAACAGTTTAAGGAAGCTGAGACTCTGGACCAGTGTTAGAGGAGTTCAGTGTTTTTGATCCTAACTGCAAAGATGAAGTGAGGATTTGCAACATCTCTGATTCACATCTCTGACTGGCTTATTCTCCATGGCAACGTGGCTGTGGCTCATGGGTATCGCAGTATTCAGAGCCAGATGCCACACCAAGCTGACGGAGGAAATACATTAAAAAAAAATGATTTATGGTAACAGAAAACTACATTTAAAAGACAAACTATAAAAGCAGTCTGTCAGGAAACACTGAAATCTTCAAAGACCAAACAGGAAGTTTAAAACCACTTCCTGTGTGCAGCTTTAAATGGAACATGCAGGTTACTGTGGTGGATTATCTAGATCAAAACAAGCTTCGTGGTGCTGAAATGAACTGAAACATGAAACCTGGGACCCCTGGACGCAGACGTGACGTCCTTTAAGAGGCTGCGTCGCACTGAAGTAGGGACTGACCATTGCGAAGCCAGAGAGCAGCGCCGAGGTCCGGCTGGAGGCCTTCAGCTTGGCCCGGCTCAGGTAGAGTTTCCTCCAGGACAGGGCCTGCACCGAGTGGTGGTTGGAGCTGACCAGCTCCAGGTAACTGCGCCGCACCCAGTCCCTGTAGTCCATCCCCCCGGAGTCCTGACCCCGCTCTGAGCCCCCCGGGGCCGGGGAACCCATGGGCACGTTCAGCTCACTGCTCATGGCACCTGGCGGGTTTAAAGGAGAGAGACGATAAGGTGGTGGTGATACTGGCAGTATTCTGGCTCACAGCGGAGGTCGTGGAAGTGATTTAGGTTGCAAAAGATCAGATGCGCAAGAAATTAGGTAATATTTAAGAGATTCAACAAAAGAGAGCAATACACCGAACTTATTTCACCAGCTGGAGCAGAAACACCCGGCACAAAGAGAGCGCCACAACCAATGTGAGCTCAGTATCAACACACAAATACCCATCTTACAACTGCAACAATTAGTGGATAAAATCCATTAGTCAACTGAAAGAAAGTTAGTTTAATGAGTGAGGACAATGAATGTACTGTACCAGATACAAGTGTTTCTGGGAAATGAGTCCAAAGGGGATTTTGTTTTGCATTAGAAAAGTAATCTGGTTTTAAGAAAATATATCTAACTTAATAAGATTTTACAGCTCATATTGAGCTAAATTGAACCAGTTACAACAATGGTTTGTGTAACTTCCCAGCAGAGGAACCAGATTATTGTCCTCATATTAAGAGGAAGAGCACTGTTGGAAATGAAGCAGCTGTTTACGGTTTTATTGTTTTAAATAAAAAAATGCTGAAAATAAGAATGTTTCTGGTGCTTCTTTTAACACAAACTCACTTATTTGTATTCTGCTCTTGTAAGTTTTTGACAATTATTAATCTAAGATTAAAAAAAAGGTAAAAATTCTTGAATTCAGCTCAATAAAGTAACAAAATACTTATTTTAAGGAAGTCTATCTCAAAGGATTTTTCATTGATGAAATAAGCTAAACTTTTTCTAGTTTTAAGGCCCATTACAGGATTTGGGCTTTTTCAGATTTTAAAGAAATAAATCAAAACCTTACAGACAAAAAATACATCTTAAATCTTAATCTTAAATTCTGAAAAACAACAACCCAGAAACAAACAAACAGAAGAACAAAGAGCAAACCCAGCACGGTCATCAGTATGAGAAAGGACCAACCACACTCAGTTCATCCATGACTTTTAATGCTTGCTTATACAGACTATGAACTCATTTCTGTCGTTATTCAAGTAAAAACTGTCAAACATTTGCTGCTTCAGCTTCTTAAACCTGAGGATTTGCTGATAGTAAACAAAGGTTTCTTTGAGTTTTGGACTGTTGGTTGGACAGAAGAAGCTACTTTAAGACGTCACTTTGTGCTCTGGGAAAACATTTTTTAGGATTCTTTCACCAACGATGAATCGACAATGAAAATAAGGGTTAGTTACAGCCCTACCCGAAATGTTGATATTATTTTAGGGCCTTATCACCCACCCCTAATGTCAACAGCTCCTCTTCACTAACACTACATAAGAGGCTGCAATGAAAGCAGCGTGATTAAACTACGATCAGATAAAACTGAGCCTCTGCCACACGCAGCACGTAAAAGTGACGGCGACTCAACACGACGCTCAGATCGAGTTACAATTAACACAAAGCACCTAAATACACACTTCATTCAGCCCACATGATCATTTCATTGTGTTAATCATTTAATGTCTGGGGAGTTAAGTTATTGAAAGTTATCATTGTAACTGTGTACACTGTATCAGAGTGGGGAGTGTTTCCTGATCGATCATTATCAACCAACAATAACGCTTCTCTTAAGGGGAAGCACAAACATTCCCACAACACACAGTGACCCTCTGTGGGGGCATCGGGATGAAATCCATCTCTCATAATAATGTCCCACCCCCCCTCTGTGTGTGTGTGTGTGTGTGTGTGTGTGTGTGTGTGTGTGTGTGTGTGTGTGTGTGTGTGTGTGTGTGTGTGTGTGTGTGTGAGCAGTAGGAGCAGGAAGCAAATAAAATGACAAAGATAAAGCGTAGATAAAAAAGTAGTTAGCAGTAAACAGAACACACCCACAAACCACATGATAATACGCAGCAGTCGCATTTCTCTACCGGCTGTTGGGGTGAGTACTTATTGTTTGATGACCCGTTTGAAATGCAACAATGATTAAAGTTCAATGATCAACATAAATAAAGCTGGTATACATTTGTTCTCATTGTTCACGAAACAGGAAGAAAAGTTCTCTGTAAAATTAAAAGAAGCACAGAGCAAATAGATTAATGAGAATAAAGCACTGAAGAAGTCTAATAAGTCTGTGTGATTGGTAGAGATGAAAAATAAATAAATACACAATACAGACAGAGAATTGTATAAAAAGCACCTAAAAATATTATTCACTGGAAATAATCTGCTCAAAATCCATCCAAATGGTTCGATTCACACAACAACAGTCTCCGTGGTAACAGTTAAGGGGAAGGCACTTTCCAGTTTGAACATGACAACTGTTTTCCCAGTTTGGTGTGGAAGAACTTGCCTGACCAGCCCCAGCCCCAGCCCCCCCCGGCTTCAGGACCTGTTCACACTGGAATCCGACAGCCAAACCACAAAAAAGCCACCATCAGATCTGAGCAATAACTCAGATTTGAGCACTAAGGCTTACAGTGTGAAGGCCTCGTGGTTCAGGGCGATTTAAAACTGATTTTCAACCTATGAAATGCCAATCTTCACACATTTGGTGAGAATGTCAACATTAACGTCACATTATTTACTTTACAGCTTAAAAAACACACATGGTTCAACAGTCTGAGGAAGAATATTCAACAATATGGACGAAACATTCTGGTGTCCATATACTTTTGGCTATATAGCGCAGTCACTCATCGATGTGCGTTCATTTTGTGACATCTCAGCTCAGCGGTTCCTCTCGATTAACCACGACTCTCTGACACACACCACTGGTTTTGCAAGTTTGCACAAACTTGCACGCAAACCATCAGAGTAACAGCGGCGGCGAGACAAAGAGGAAAGCCTCCCGCGTTTATATTTTTACCAGCTGAAATATCAAAAACAGTGTTGGCTGGTGGTCACAGGATGCAAATCATATAGCTGAGTAATGTACGAATGAATGCAGGGAGCATCCTGTTGCACCACACCACTCTGACCTTTTGTGATCAGTTTACACACAGTAGACGATCAGTTATGGGATGTTAATTCACACCAACTAGATAAATAAATAGCTTTTTTCCATGAGAATGGACCCAAGTGGTATTTTTTGACACATTTACAAACATAGTGGGAATGAAAATATTAGTTTGTGTTGTTGAACGCAGTGGAGCTTAAACATCTCTGATCATTCTCCTCTAATTTGTTGATTAAGTTATAAATTAGGACTGCACAATTAACTGAAAATGTGTGTATTTTAATGAACTGCAGAGACGTCCTGGGCTACACATCCATGTTTGTTCAGTACAGAACCCAACAAATATTTACCATCATGCTGATTTTAACCGTTTCATCAGTGAAAACGACATTTTTCTGACACCAACAGTGAAACAATTAAATGTAATATGACGTTTTTCACATTGTCCTGGTTGTAAATGTGTAAAATATATAATTGGGTATATTCTCACTGATTGATCAGACAGGCATGGTCCGGAAATAAACTTTTATGTAACTGAAATCCTGCTAATTTGGACACGTATCAATGAATTTATGAATGAACACTGACACAGCCTGCATTACATCAACATGAGTAATCTATTACTTTAAGACAGGGGCTCTCCAAACTTTGTGGGAGGTTAAAAACTTCAAAAATATACACTGTAAGCCTATATCTGATCTCATTTGTACATTTCCGTGAAGAAAACCAAATGAAATCCTTGTGTTTAAAGTATTATACATTATATTAAGTATTATTTAGATTATTATCTATATCTCTCAGATCAACAGTCTCACGCTGCATCAACCACAGAGCAGATAAAAGAGAAGAAAACACTGAATCTGTATAATAAGAAGCCCATTAAATACACATGAATGGTATAAATGCATAATACAGACAGATAAAAATATCTGATGCTCACAGGAAATAATCTGTTTAAAAATTGATAGAATGACAGAAAAAGTGGTCCCTTAAAGAAAAAGGTTGGGAAACACTGCTGCTGAAGGAGAAGTGCAATAAAAAGTGATTAAGACTATCAGGAGAACTCATCTTTGGTGCAAAATTACAGGAAACAATCTGCTCATCCTCCTTTTAAGGAGCCATTTATGCTCCAAGTGCATGAGTGAAACCTTTATTATAAAGTACAGTGATGCATTCAGGGGTAAAAGTACAACTCATATCAGTACCTGTCTAACTTTGGAGAGCTGGACTCATTGGCGGGGGGGGTTCTGCAGGGAAAGCACCACTTCAGCAGAACTGTGCACCTTAACGCCTCATGTATATTTAGAAACAAGTTAGCAGGATCCGTTTACCGGACAGAAAGCTGGTTTAACGGAGAGCTGCGGCTATTTCAAATATGATATGATATTATGATTATGTAAGATCCTCAGGTGCTTCATTTCGACCCTCTCCTCGTGGTTTTAAACCGCAGAGGAGAGTAACAAGAGTGAAAACTGAGTTAAGCGACCACTCTCGTTAGCTCACTAGAGCTAAACTAACTAGCACGCTTTCCAAACCACGCCACGCGCCTGTAATCGATTTATTTCAGATTATTTTCTTACCTGTCCGCCAAAGTGGCTTTATGCTGATCGATACAGGCTCCTGGAAGCTGCTCTCTCTCTCTCTCCTCACTGTGCAGCTCAGTAAATGAACGCTGCCCGGATTCACTGCGACTGTTTTTGGTTCAACTATTTCCGGTTGCAGTTACCGACAATTAACTCTTTGGCGCAATTTCCCCCCCCAATCGCACCTGTGTGGTTGGCTGTATGTTCCTCGCGGACAGGTAACTCCACCGGGCAGCTCTCGGTTGTTTGCTCTGGGTCGGTTTGGACCGCAGAACCGGGCGGATGGAGAGGGAAAACTAAAGTCGTTACACAAAGGGTTCCGGTTGGGTTGGGCGTGTTGCCTTCACAATAAAAGCACAAGTTGATTTACATTGAATTTACATAGAGAAGAGGGACAAATTAAAGCTACAGTAGGTAAAATAACTAGAAATAACTTTAAAATAACTCACAGTGTCCTGACAGTAGACCACGAGACAGATAATCTCATAATAAGTTAAAAAATTAGGTTCCCCTGGCTTAGTATAGTGCTCCTAAAGGTATTTGCAAGAATCCACCTGCCCCGAGGAAAACAACCAGTGAGAGTGGAGAAAGATATAAAGACACTTAAAGGGTTGAAGGTTGTTGATTGTTGCATCTCTAAAAATCCTCCCTGTTATTTTTTTAAATAAAAAAGACCTAGTGCATCTTTAATTACGTTTTTTTTAATGCACACGCCATCACATTCACTAAATAAGAGCCTGCACTGAGAATAAAAATAAATAAGAATACTATAAATAGATATCCTATAACCCTTTCTTTTAATTTTTCTTACTGACACAACTCTTTGCTTTATTATTATTATTCTCTTTGTCTAAAAAGTAACTACTGTAAGGGGTCACATTTCAATAAATGAAGAGTATTAAAATAAATTAATAAAAAGATTTAGCCTATGGTAAATTTACATCTAACGCATAAACCATCACATTCATTAAATAAGAGCGTGCACTGTCGGTCGGTAGGTAGGTATTTCATTGATCCCTAAGAGGAAAAAAAGGCATTACAGCAGCTTATATCTCAAACAACAGCAGCCAAAAATAAGGTTACAATTGTAGGATAGAATAAATAAAATAAAAAATAAATAGACATCTGATGCAATACACAATAAGAGCATTGCTCACTGCTTACATTTGGTTGTAAATGCAAAATACATACATATAAAACTCTTTGATCTGCAGCTTAGCAACACACACATGTCCACATATCAATAAAGAAAAATGAGAGAAGTCGTTCTGTTAAACCGACTGAATAAAATGTATGAATACAAATATTCCTCATCCGGTGATTCTGCACGACACCGACAGGCACAGAAACACACAATCATAGTCCAAAATGGGAGCTGTATCCTTTTGAACTACACATGCATTGTTATTTTTTACCACAGATCTGAAAATCCATGCTGGTGTAATGAGATGATCCCTTTATGGTGACTTCAGTATTGGGTTCACACCCATACCAGGGTAAAAATATAAGTATGAGTAATTAAATGATAATCCTGAGCCTTCATGGAGGTGATCTGTCAGTAAAGTGGACTACCATGACCCCTTGTCCACAGTGGCACTAACCCAACAGCACATGTATTCCTGTCAACTGTTATTTCAGACATCTCCATTTATGAATCTGTTTTTGTATTAAGGATCCAAGGTCCATGTTAACGCCAGCCACTGGCCATTCCTCAAGCTCTGAATAACCAGTTCAATTTCACACTGCAACATTTCTATTTTTCCTCTCGCTGGCAGTCCGCCGTTGATGAGGAAATGTCCACTGATGCAGACTAGAGAGAGAGAGAAATGGAGCTCTGTTGAAACATCCTCAGGATATCTTTGGCCTGGACTTGTGATGATGACAATGGCAGCACTGTTTATATTTATATGAACAGAATAGCGAGCGGGTCGCTGCCGTAACCAATGTGGTGTGTGCAAAAGAACCACAAGAACAATTGCTTTTGCAGAATGTAATCGAGGAAGTGTTGGACTTCATTTGCCACCACATTCCTCACATGATGGATTTCAGATGGCACAATATGGCCTGACACCTTAGGACAGCTGCAGACTTATTATCAACAGCCCCCCCTCAACTCACACACCCTGCATCAGGGCAGTTATGGAAAACAGAGTGAAAATCAAAACCTAATCTACCCCAGCGCGGACCCTGACTCACTAGTATTATTATCTTAATCTCAGTATAATTGCATCTTTGATGTGCATTTAAACTTGATTAATGGTAAATACTTTATTTCATAATGAAACAGTGCACTATTGTAGTACACTAATAGACACACAGATAAAGGGGGCTTATGTGAATTTAGGAAGATTATGTGTGCTGCTGCCAATTAAAGCCATGAAAATAACACAGAATTCTAGCACTTAAGCTACAGACGGGGGCCGAGCGGGTTGAGATACGAGACTAGCATTGTCACAGCTACAAATAATCAGGTTACACTTCGTCCTCATCGTAATACGGAGCCATCCATTCTCAAGAGATCAAGATCTTCTATGGAAGATTTAACCACAGCGATAATTAGAGCTCTAGCACAAGGAATTACACAGTGTCAAAAGAGCAAATAGTGCAAAGATAGTGAACATTGCATGATATCAGAAATGTTCTGGGATGTAAGTACAATCCATCCCAATAATGGCTTGGCTTGCGAACATCATGTCCATATCACTTCTGTCTCACAAAGCCACCTTTCTGATTCCTTGGACACTAGGAGAGCGGGGCGGAGGAGCCCGTTGCTACTAGAGCTGTCAGATTTTCTAGCTCCACACCAATCTCATTTATCTTGTGTGCACTGTGTACAGTTCCCCACCCCCCCGTGCCATGGTCTCAAGGATCTTGGTTGGGTCTGTTGGAGCTACTGGTGGAAGAGAGCGATGTTTCACCCCTCGCTTATTGAACTAGTTTCTTTGCATGGTGAAAGAACATACCCAGATGTGTTGTCTCAGGTTCGGCAGTACTGTCAGGGAAAGCTTGTTGGTAGATATCAGAAAGCACAGAGGACAGGTTTGAATGGTGTCAGGGAGTTCTTAACAGGACCAATCCCAGTGTTCAGTGGTCTCCCAAATAGGATTTCGAATGGGCTGAGACCACCTCTGTTCCTTACTTTGGCCTTCATGTGCATTAAAACAATCGGTAGCGCTTTTGTCGATGTCAAACCTGTCTGGAGGTGGGTGAGCAACCTGTGGAATTTGAATACCACAGTGCACATTGTTAGTGGCGAACTTGTGAGAAGTTAGAGAACCCCTTTGTGTACCAATATCTATATTTCACTCATCCTATCCTAATTTGACAAATGGTCCTTCCCATGTGTTAATTTATCGTAGTGAGGAAACAGACTTTGGTAGGCAGGGCTCACCATTTGGCCCATGCCATGTCAGTGAATGAGCAACCTGCTTTCTTCCATGCAGCTTCCTCCTGTGAAGTTGCCCATACCTGTAATTCCTACAAACCAACTGTAGGTTTTAGTGGTGAATCAGTTAAAGCAACACATTGAACACCTTGTTTGAGTCCACTTTCACATTTCCCTGTGAAATGCAGTCAAGGTTGTTACTGTGTGCTTCATATTTGCAGATAGAAATTTGTTTGGGCAACAACACAGCATCATGAAGTGCAGCATCAAGGACCACACCCTTGATGAGCAATAGGTTTTCCTGTGGATGTAAGGAATCTTCTATTTGACGGCCAAAATCATTTCACCTCCAGCTTTTAGGAGAGATTAAAAAAAAACTGTTGAATACCTTCAATTCCTTTCTTTAAAAGGATATTGATTTTGGTGTCACAATACGCTCTGTGCCTTTAATTACACCTACATCATATTCGTTTTGTGCCCACAAGCTGATGATGATGATGGCACCTGACCTAGTTCAGGAATTTCAGAGACGTCTTT